TGCCCATTCATGTAATTTTGCTCATGAATACCAACTGATTTGATGTTTCAGTTGATTTAAGAGTTACAGCTGACATATTTTATCTTGTCAAAAAGCATTTGGCTCTTGAGGAAAGTCAAACCAGGAAGCAAGATACCAGAGGGAGGTTCCTTCCCTGCCCCTGGGAGACCTGCAGGCTGCAAAACCCTTGATACCACTTGACGTCCAAAGGACAACAGCAGGGCAGAAAGAGAAATGGAAGCCAAGGAAAAGGACAATGAAAATGCAGACCTCCAACCAGGCCAAGTGTGCTGGATCAGTAAATGTGCATTCTTTGCTTCTTCTCTGCCAAGGTCAAGATTAAATGTGTGAGATGGTATTTCTTGTTCAGACTCAGATGTTTGTTAGTTCTTATCCATGTTACAGTCTCACAAACCATGAGTTCTACAGCACTTTACCAAGCTACAAAATAGAGCCTTATCTCTCTCTCTCTCTCTCTACAAGGCCTTTGAAGGATAAGCTGTCCAATTAAGAAATGACACCTAAATTATTTTTACTTTTAACCCAATAACCAACCACCCGTGCCCCCCAGTGTGGACTTTTTTATCAATTGCTTTAAACCACCCAAAACCATGGAGAAAAAGGTGAAGAAGAAGGACCCTAAAACCTCCATCTTGCTTTATATATATTACTGTATTCTAAACACTTAAACTCTGAGTTTTCCACCCTGGGGTATTACACACGTTTATTCAACCTCCACAGCCACAATCCCAGTTCTGTCATTCCATTTTGGAAGCCTTCTCCACAGCCTCAGGTCAATGCAGTGTTCTCTTGGGGGGTCAGTGCCTGCCAGCACAGAAAGTCTGAAATCCTCAGCAACCAGGGTTGCAGCAATAAAGATTAGATTTTGATCCAGCAGACCACTGATGTGTGGAGGAGAGCACCCAGAGCAGGACAGTCTGTCCGTGTAAGCTCACGCTGCCGCTGCAAACGGCGACTTCAGGCAGACGCAAAACAACAAAAAAAACTCTGAACACAGGTGCTTCACGTGCCAATTAATCTGTCACATTTCTGCACTGTACCTTCAGCTAAACCTTTGGACCCTTTCAGGGCAGGCTGGAAGGAGCTGTGGGCACAACCCTGTGAGCAGCATCACAAAATGCCTGCGCTGAGCAGAGCCAGCGTGCTGTGAAGCGTTTTCTGCAAGGCAGCAGTAACATCTACTGCCCTCCCTGCTCAGTTTGGCTGACGATAGTTTTTATGTGCTGCTGGATCACCCTGTAATGACCCACGCTGAAATCATTAGGAAACAGTTCATTAATGATTGACACAATAAACTGTCTTATTTAACTGTTCCATTGTCAGAGCTTATAAATCTAATGTTTCCGAGTTAAGCAGGTCAGCTCATTTCAGACTTAATTTTTCACTACCTTTCTTTCTAATGGTCTCAGCCAAACCACACAGGGATATTTCCAGTGTAAATTAGAAACCCTGTGGAATAATTCCTCTATGTGTATGGATGGTGAAAATGAAGCTGTGAGGCCAGATCTTTCCTCCACGGAACTGCACAGGATGCAAGGTGAGTTGAATTAAACCATTAGGAGGGGTGTTGAAGGGATGAATTTGAATGCAAACCCTGATCATGTTTGGAGGTGTACTATAAAACTCTACCTTTCTTTGGTCTAATCACAGATGAAAGTTGAGCCCATAATAATAAAATCAGATATGGCCAGTTTCAGATCTCTGTTTCACTTCAGTAGTTCTGAAAATGCACCTCCAACCCGCTCCACATTCAAAATCCCTGTCATGGTACCCTGGTTTTCAAGCTTAGCTGCTGTACTGATTCTGTGATTTTTAAGTTCCACACTCTGTGTCGGTTTTGTTTTGTGGGTGACCTCCAAATCTGCAAAGGCTTTCAGGTGTGTTGTTATAAATTTAAGTCTGAAATGAGCTGACCTGCTTAATTTAGGATGCCCACAGATTTTAATGGAACAATCTAGTGCTTCAGGATTTTTTGTGCCAAAGGTTCCTGATTTCTCACAGCTACAACAGAGACATCTAAATTCAAACTGTAATTTATAATGCTGTTTATAGAAAATTCTGCACAATCTGGTCACACCTGCAAAGCCTATTTCCCACAGGTGTATCCACTTAGTGGAAACCTTGCTTTTTCTATTTGACTCATACCTTCCCGGAAAATCTCTAGTGCCTCTCCCCTGCTTTTGGGGGAAAAATGTATTTGGTAATCTCAGGTCTTCACAGAAAGGTGGACTTGGCTCTGCTGCAGAGCAGCACGTGTGGTGGCCAGTACATCAGCTGGAGAAGGCACAATGTCCACCTTTTTCACACAAGGACAAGCTCCTGGGAGGGCAAAGAAAAATGAGTAGCTGGTCCAAGCTTCTGAACAGTTATCTCAATTCTTCCTTGCTGGCAGATGCAATCTTCTGTAGAGGACATCATCTTAGACAAAAACTTGTATTATCCATGTGCTAACTACTTCTCCTACCCCTACCTTCTGCTACCTACTGTTTTCCTGCACTTTCTGTCCAAATGTCTGCTGTAGAAACTTAATATAATTGGGGTTTTCTGTTAATTTCATTGAATTACTTTCAGTGCTCCAAGTAACAAAAAGCTGACTCCATTCCACTGCTGACAGACAGACTCTGCTCAGGGAACCTTCTTCACTATCAAGATTTCACCTGTGTTCATACAGTTAGAAAACCCTGCAAGCCCTAATCCAGCAGATTTGAGGATAAGCAGCAGTCTGCCTTAACGTTACAATAACCATGTAGAATTCAATACAATAACCTTAATTTTACAATAACCATGTAAATTCAGTAGTTTCCCAAGAATTAGAAATGCCAGAAAAGAAGGAAAAATGGAAGACGGTTTATGGAAGAGGTTTGACTGAAAAACATTACCTTGGTATAGCAGAAGGCATTTTTGGAGACCCTCACTTCACTCCCTCTCCTTTATCATTTTGGAGCTGTTTCTTCATTATTTCCTTTTTCCAAGCAAGGCAGCAGAAGCCACGCTTTTGTGGCTGAGATCCTGGCACCATGCAGGGTGTTCATGGCTGAGACCACCCCTGTTTGATAAAATTTCTCCTCCCTGAAGGGGCTCTGTAAACCATCACCTCAGCCTCTGCGCAATGCTGCAGCACAGAGTTTTATATTGTTGTAAATATTTGTAATATATTTGTATATATTTGTATTGTTGTGTATATTTGGCCACCCTCACAGTAAAAGAGGTTTTTCTTGCCAATGAGAATGGCACAATGAGTAAGCTGAGGTTATAAACTATTTTTTTGTGGTGAAGTACTGCAAAATTCAACAAATTTCTGTGGAACTCATGAATGAGCCTATAGGAATTCACAGAGTGCTCTCTGCTGAGCTGTAGAGATTTTTAAAGGAAGTCTCATTCCTTTAAAAATAAAACCCACCAATTACACCCATCTAAAATTCCATAGGCCTGTTCTCCTGGGGTTGGTTATCCCAGAAATCCAGGTCAAGAGCGATGTTCAGCTACCACTCACTCCAAAACTCAGACCAACAGGGGCTGGGACTGCACAGCACATTCTGCTGCTGGGCAGATGCCTTGATCAGCACCAGTGCTACCCCTGCAAGCACTGCAGGTGATATTCTCATTTTTATTTCAATAACAAACCAAAATGATCTAATCTGAGCACAGCAAACTGCCACTGGAGAATTGTTCACGACGAGCTAGACATTTTCAAAATAGTCACAAAAGTAACTGCTACTTAACCCTGGCTGCAGGTTAATGGAATTCAAAAAGGGCTGATAAAAGCTTTTGATGCAACAGGAGGTCCACAGGTGAGGGACAGCCCAAATGGTGCCAACTCAGTCACACATGCCACAAAACCAGAGCAGGAGCACCTTGCAAGCAGGAAAATGTCTCTGTTGCTCTGCTTGTTGCACCAGTGGCTGAGTCACCACAGCCTCAACAAACATTCCCTTAATTAGACTTGTTCATTTTATCAATACTAAGGAGCTCTGGAGAAATAGCTCTAAATATTTATTACAATTTCCAGACTGAAGTGCTTTTGTCACACTGAATCCCACCAGGTACCTGACTTGGCAGCTCCTTTAGAGAGAAATGAGCATTTCCCGCTGAAATCAGAGCTAATGCTGTGAAACCCTCTTCACAAAGCATCATGAATCACAACCCACTGAAGACTTCAAAAGAACAGAAGGCAAGAAATCCCCCAGTGCTGATGTGCTGGACTGGTAAATTTGAGTGTGGATTCTTCCTTCTTTCCCCAGGGATTTTTCCAGCTGCTTTCATTATCTCTGTTTTTTCAGGGATGTCCCAGCCCTGACGGGGGTCCTTCCTCACATGGGATCACCACCATGTGCATTCTTTGCTTCTTCTCTGCCAAGGTCAGGATTAAATGTGTGAGATGGTATTTCTTGTTCAGACTCAGATGTTTGTTAGTTCTTATCCATGTTACAATCTCACAAACTCTGAGTTCTACAGCACTTCACTCTGAAAACTAAAAATGGAGCTGTGTCTCCCTCTCTACAAGACCTTTTAAGGATAAGCTGTTCAATTAAGAAATGACACCTAAATTATTTTTACTTTTAACCCAATAACCAACCACCTGTAGCCCCCAATGTGGACTTTTTTTATCCAAATACACAAAACCACCCAAACCCAAATGGAGAAGAAGGTGAAGAAGAAGGATCACCCACCCTAAAACCTCCATCTTGCTCTATATCTATTACTGTATTCTAAAACCCCAAACTCTAAGATTTCCCCCCTGTGATATCACACCTATTCAAACTCCACAGCCACAATCCCAGCTCTGTCATTCCATTTTGGAAGCCTTCTCCACGGCCTCAGGTCAATGCAGTGTTCTCTTGGGGGGTCAGTGCCTGCCAGCACAGAAAGTCTGAAATTCTCAGTAACCAGGGCTCCCACCAGGGCTCCATTTGAGCTCAGTTCCCAGATCTCATCTGCAGCTTTGGTCATGGCACTCTCCATGTGCCAGGGAGGCGTACCTGGGTGGGACTCCTGCGGCTGAGCCTGCTGAATTCCTTCCATAACGCCCTATTTTCACCTCCTTCTCTTTTCTAAACTTCAATATTCAAGAGGAGGTTTGGTACAGAGATGATCCTTAAATCAGACCCAGAGATAAAGCAGTGTGGGTTTTGAATAAAACAGATTACGGAGGTTGTTTTTTTTTTCTTTTAGAAAAGAAAATTCAGGATGAAATTTGCTATTCTGTCCTCACAGAAATTCCTGCAGCTCTTTCTTTGAGAAATACAAGCATACAAGTTCTGCTGAGCAGGAGTATGAAATACAGAAATGTGTCATTCACTGTCCCTATGATTATCCAGCCAAATCTGTGCATTACAATCCTCTGAAAAATGACAATTCACTCATTCTAAAGACCTGTTAGAATTTGGCAGCATTGTCAAAACTCCCTCTTCTCAACACACATTCTAAATCAGGCCCTAGATTTCTCAAACTAGACACTCAGATAAAGGGTAAGCTCAAATTTTACTTGAAACATTTTGCATTAGCATTGTGAACAAACCCTCTTGGGCTCACTCCTTGCATCCAAAAGCACCAAGCCCATGGCAGCTGCCTTGTCCCAGGAGTTCTTTCCCTTCCTAATTTGTTCTCCACAGCAAAATTCATCTTCCAAACCCTACAGCTGAGACAGAGCTCTCACTGATAACAGCCTTGCTTCATTCCTAGGTTTTGATCCATTATTTACTGAAATAGATAAAAACTTTAAAGGGTTTAAAAAATAAGTAAGAAAAGAGACTATGAAATTAAAGACTATTCTATAAGCATTCAAAAGCAATGTTTCCCTCTCTCCAGCATCATTGCTGTGTCAGTGCATTTACTCTGGTTATACACCAATAAAAACCAACAGCAAGAACAGCTTCCCCTCACTCCCAAATGGTTCCCTGGTCTGAGTATTGCTCATTAAGGTAAGATTCTTTCCCAGTATATGACCATAAAGGGGCAGGTCATCAAATGATTTTACTCCACAATCTGAAATGCTGTCTGGTAATACTGCCCAGGCAAGAAAAAAAGATTATTTATCCAAGCAAATATTAAAAACTCCTTACCTTGGCTATTAACTAGTGTGAGCAGTAAATTGTACTGGTTACACTTGCGACTAGAAATCCAGTCACCTCATCACTTAATAACCAACATATATGGCTCAATAATAGTCCACTTATTAATTGCTGTAACAGGGAATTCTGCTGAACATGTCAAGGTAATAGCTAGCAAATCATGATGCACCATTGGAGTGCTAGGACCAAACTGGAGTGCTGTCAACAGCAATTCAACAAAAACAGACACATGGAGGCTTCTCCTCCCTGATCAGCAATATTTTGCCATTTTCAATAAATTAATAGCAAATGAATTCTGCTTGCAATGCAGAAACTCCCCATCATGAGCACACTTCAGCTGGAGAGAAGTTGCATGGAAGATGTTTCAGGTGCCTCATTTCACATCCTCCCTCCATTCTCTTTAGAGGAGAAATGAGCTGACATGTTCAAAGAAGAGAGCACAAACAGAGGTATCTTGTGTTATGACAAAAAATTACCAGGTGTGTATCAATGCCAGGCTTCCTGATGCACTAAACCATTAATAACCTGCCAGTGGACACCTGGAGGCATTAGTGCAATACTGCTCATGAATGACATTAATAACACAGGGAATGCACTGCAGGTGAGGAAAATGAACACTGCCATGAAATCACTGCATTCATTTAGAAATGAGCTCACCAAAAATACAAAAAAAAATAATGATTAGCCCTACACTACACATGATTTGCCACTTTGATATGAATATGAGTTTATTACACTGCACTTTCAGTCCAAATATCTGCCATAGCAATTTGATGTAATTGGGGTTTTCTGTTAATTTCATTGAATTACTTTCAGTGCTCCAAGTAACAAAAAGCTGACTCCATTCCACTGCTGACAGACAGACTCTGCTCAGGGAACCTTCTTCACTATCAAGATTTCACCTGTGTTCATACAGTTAGAAAACCCTGCAAGCCCTAATCCAGCAGATTTGAGGATAAGCAGCAGCCTGCCTTAATGTCATGTTTTACAATAACCATGTAGAATTCAGTAGTTTCCCAAGAATTAGAAATGCCAGAAAAGAAGGTTATGGGAGAGGTTGGATTGAAAAATACTACCTTGGCATAACAGAAGGCATTTTTGGAGAACCTCACTGCACTCCCTCTCCTTTATCTTTGCAAAATGATAATTGAAAAACAACCCTGAGCCACTGAATTTAGTACCCATTATCCCAATCATGTAATGCAATGTCAACATTTCGGGAAAGGATTAATTAAAAAATGCCCTGTGCGGCTCCCTGAAGTAAATTGGCTGTACTTTCAGCTGGGAAAAGGGGAAGACAGACATTTCCTCACTTGCAAATCAGATCAACGTTGCTTTCATCAGCAAAGAACACATGTCTGGGGAAAGGGAACAAAACCCAGTTTTGTGGTGCCAGATGTTCACATTTCATTCCTGAACACCTGATCTAGGAACTGTGTTGCCTGTATGGGACAAAACACCCACAGGGTAATTTGGGAAGTTGAATGGAAGAGGAAAACTACTCCAGAGCAGCACAGAAGGCTTTGCCCATCAGCAGTGGGCTGAACAGGACACAGAAGCATTAGGAGCTGTTGGGGAAAGGTGACTTTGAGCCTGGCTTTTGTACAGCACTTAGTGGTAAGAAGCCCAGGTTTTCAGAGATATGTTGCAAATAAATACAAATACATGAAAAGAGCCAGCGGCGAGTTTCTATTCACTGCCTTGATCACTTCCATGAGAAGTAATTCAAACTGCAAAAAGCTCCAGTCATCTTTTTGAGGCTAAAGCATTTTAATACGCTCCATCCTCGTGAAGCAAAGGCCAAGGATGGCAGTGATGGAGACACGCAGAGAGCTGGGCAGACAGCATAAACAGAAATGTTCATCCATCTCCTCTAACATACATGTCACCCTTCCCATGTTCCTGTCACATTAATTCCCCTGCTGAGCACCAGGGGAAGCAGCGATAGGAGGCACAGGAACCAGCCTGGAATTGTGCACATCCCTCCTGTGGCCACGCACGGCTCAAAGCACATGCGCTTTGGTGGGAAATGCTGCAGCAGATGCAGTGCTGCTGCTAATTCCACCAGCTCTGGGTGTGCAATGTGTGCTGCAGGGAGCAGGGGCTGGAAGGCTTGCCCAATTCTCCCATTTTTCATGACAATTTTGTGAAAGGGCTCTCTGGTGTGATTATTTCCAGCGTTCCGCCCACTCCGCGCTGGGCAGGTGCCCGACGCAGCTGCGTGCGGAGGAGCTGAAGGGCAGACTGGAAGGAAGACAAAGTCCGCCGAGGCAAGGAAGCAGTGCGAGCTGAAATGACCCGAAATCATGAAGAAACCCTGCAGCCTGTTGGGTGTGACCCCTGTGGCATGTCCTGGCCCAGCTGGGCAGGCAGCCGTGCCCCCAGAGCGGGAGGAGAGGGCCCTGCTGCAGAGCCCCCCAACTCCACCAACCTGTGCGAAGCACTGTGGGCGGCTCTCGAGTCAAATGCAAATCAGGAGTGAATACAGATTTGAGGGAATAAATATAGGGAGAGAGCTAGTTTCCATTTCTTTCATATGTTCTGAAATTGCAGCGATTGTTGATTCATTAACGCAAATCGCGGAGCCGGGCACCCTGTATCAGATCAAATATTCATGAAAACAGCAACTCTAAAGATATCACCTTCAGATAAACAGATGCTGGGCTTACAGAAACATGGGGAAAAGTAGGGATACAGAAAACCACATACACTTGCATATAAGCCATACATTCACATACAAATACATTTACTTAATTGTCCAGCCTAGCACAGCTACCAAAATGCTCCTTGCCATGTAAAAGATCATGAAACACACATGAACACACGCACAGGGCAAAGATTCTTTCACCTTTAAAAGGGCATTTGTGCCTCCTGAGAGCCACAAGTCAGAGTCAGAAGTAAGCAGCATCTTTGCTCACAGGCAGCACTGAGCAGCCCAAGCACCTTGCATCAACTCTGCTTAACTGCTGCAAAATTAACGCTGGTGTGTGCCAGCTATTTTTAATTCCTTAAGTACTAACAACACCACGGGCTGGTGTTTTATGTTTAACACTAAAGGCAAGTAAAGAGACTTGGAGCTGAGTGAAAGCCACGGAGAGAATGACCTGCAAGAGGTAACCTTGCAAACAAACCGGAGCCTGTAGGGATGGCACAACAAACACGAAACTAATACAGGCTTGGCACAATTCATCACAAGTGCCTCAGGGGCAGATTTACAAATGAGGCACGTAAGTGCTGCCAGCTAACACCTACTCACTTGAGAAGCCACCAGCCCCTTGAAGAGGCTGTGCAATTCCTGTGCAATTCCCAAATTCCTCCAGTGATCTTGCAGGCTCCCATCTGCAAGTGCAGGCACCCAAACGCCTCTGTAACTCTCAGCAGCTCTGGTACCACTGACTCACTGAAAATTACCGAGCCCTGCTGCCTGAACTACCCATGGTGCTTAAAACTAAGCCTTTAGAAACCCCTGAGTACTTAGAACGGGGTTTTTTTTCCCTTTGACAAAAGGGCAAAAATGACGAGAAATGGGATATTGTAAATGCTTAGCTTGTGGCTCACTAAAGCCTTGATGTAAATCTTGGCTGTAATATTACAGCACTAATGAGGAGTAGCACTCCAACAGCTAAAACACCGAATATTAGGAGCCAGGGAGGAGCCGTGCAGGATGCTGCTTTGGCTTGTCACATCCACAGAATTACAGGCAGAGTTCAGCAAACTCAAAATAGAGATGGTTTCCTACTGGGATCCTCCCTTTTCACTCCTGTAACCATGGGAGTACCTTCACAAGCCCTGACCCAGCTACCCAGGAGTGATGAGCACGTTTTATTTTCATTCCGGGGATGAGCAGGAAAGAGAAGCTTCCAAGAGCCCAACTTGCTATTTGCTTCCAAGTATTTTCTGAAAGCACCAACTGGAACATATTGCTATTTTTGCACCAAAGTTCATGTTAAT